CTCAGCTTGTTGTCAAATAGCAAACCCAGGCTCTTGGTTAATGGCACAGTGAGTCTGAGATATTTTTTTTTAATTAATGCATCGATGAAAAACTACTGAAGGGTATGATGATGGTGATTGTTACTGTCATTGTGGAGCGAGGGAAACATGGCATGAGCATTGACTGACTCCAGCCGCCTGCCAGGGCATCCCTGGCCTTAACAGGTTGGGACCCTCTAGAGGAGGGGCTGTGTGGTCAGAGTTTAGATACAGTGCTGAGCTCCCTGCCCTGAGAGTCATGTGGTGTTCCACCAGGAAGAAAGCATTAGTGGCCCTGGGGCCCATTAAGACTGCAAAGCCAGGCAATTTGCCCAAGACCACATGATGAATGAGTACCCTATGCTGGGACTTAAACCTTATCTCCTGGTTCCAAGCCCAGTGCTCTTTAGTCTGGACTGTGGTCCCCTTCCCCCCATACACCATGGCCCCTGGGGGGAGGGAAAGTGGAAAGTAGGAGGATGTGGTCCAGGAACAAAGGGAATTCCTCACAGTAAAAAGGACTTGAGTTTCTGTGGACTGCCTTGAAAACATCAGGAGGTTTCCGTATCAGTAGCCTGCAGATCCAGCCAGGTACACCCATGCCCAATTATGGGATTATCTCACTCCTAAAGGATATAGGCTTATGGGCTATAAAGAACTAAAAAGGGGGGGGGGCTCAGTAAAGAGCATTTGCTACCTGTGCCCATGAACAGATTTCAGTTCCCAGCACCGACATCAGATGGCTCACAATGGCCTATAACCATAGCTCCAAGAGATCTGACACCCTCTTCGGACTTCAACAGGCACCCACACACATGTACCTGTGCACATATATGCATAGACATATAAAATTAGAATATAACTTAAAAATCCAAAAGGGAATAGTTGTTCTTGTTTTAAAAGAAATAAAAAAAATAAAAAAGATAGTGACCACATTTATCACATTCTAATGGTAGCTTTCTATTCCTGTAACAAACGCCCGGGGTAATCAGTGTGAAGAGTTGAAAGATTGGTTTGCCTCAGAGTTTTGGGAGGTTCAGTCCCGGGACAGTTGACCCCCTGGCTTTGGGACCTCTGTTGAAGTCACTCATGGTATAAAGAGAGAAGTTGGTGAAACAATATCCTCAGGGGAGCAGAGAAAGGAGAAAAAGATCCATAGCACGCAGCCCTACTCAAGGGCATACCTCCAAGGTATCAAGGACCAAGTCATCGCACTTGGTCCTTCCTCCTAAAGTTCCTACCCCCTCCCAATAGCACCACTGACTGGTGACTGGGCCTTTGGGGAATAGTCCACATCCAAACTACATCACCAGACACGTCCCAAAAAGCCTAAACAGTCTTCTGCTTCATTCACATAGATGAGAGAGAGACAGAGAGACAGACAGAAAGACAGACACACAGGTAGAGAAATCGCCTGAGGGAATTGGAGGGGGTTGCAGATCCTGGAGAGCTGTCCCCAGATATCTGTGAACATTTGCTTCCAGGATCCCACAAATGCCCAAATCTACAGATTCTCAAGAGCTTGTATACAGCGACAGAGTATTTACGTAGAACTTGCTCACAACATTTTACCTACTTCAAATCAGCTCTAGATTTTTCAAAATATCTGCTGGAAATGGATTTAAATCATTTGACACTACACTGCTCAGGGAACTATGAGAACAAGCCTAGTCCTGTCCAGTACCACTGCAATTTTCTTTCTCAATGCTTCTGATCTGTACTTAGTTGAGGTCAAGGATGCGGAACCCACGGGTGCACAGGACCTACTGTACTCGGAAAGAATGGGGCAGGGAACTGTTCATCACATCTCTTGGCCTCTATGGTAAGGAAAGAACAGAGGTGACACTCAGTCCTGCCAATTCAGTCTTCTCCATTTTCTCTCCCCTCCTCCCTCGTTCCTTCCTCTCAATGGCCATGAACGAATCATGCATGTATGCATTCCACAAGCACTGTGCCCTTCTGGTCAGGTCCCCGAGTGCATAGTAGACCAAAGGGGTTTCCACCCTCTCAGAAATTATTGTCTGCTTGACAATACATCACACACACACACACACACACACACACACACGCACACACACACGCACTTGCACGCTATTTGCTTGAGTGACAGCTGGAGAAATGGCTATTTCGCAATCACTGCCACTTCCTTGCCAGGAATAGTCCCATTCGGATAGGCATTTCTCCATCAATACTCATAAGTAGTCTCCGTCTTCCTCTGGGGAGACCAGCACACAGCAAAGTCAAAGGTACAGAATAGAATTCCCATCCGTCAGTGGCAGAGTAGGGATGATCACCTCCAGATCTCCAAACAACAACGGTGACAGGAAGTTGAGGTCCCGTCACAACTGAATGTCACCTGTAAGGAAGAAAACATAGAGCTGGGCAGTGGTGGTGCATGCCTTTAATCATGGCACTCTGGAGGCAGAGGCAGGAGGATTTCTGGGAGTGAGTTCTGAGACAGCCAGGACTATTGCAAAAGAAATCCTGTCTCGAAAAACAAAAGAAAAGAAAGCAAAAAGCACAGAAGGAACTGGGCAGTGGTAGCACATGCCTTTAATCCCAGCACTGAGGAGGTAGAGGCAGGCAGATCTCTGAGTTTGAGGCCAACCTGGAACTGTATACAGAGCAAGTTCCAGGACAGTCAGGGAGAGAAACCCTCTGGGGTGGCGGAGAGAGAAAGGGCAGAAGAATCCAATCTACCTTCATATCATTGTATCTCTAACACAAATCTGTCCTGTAAAGAGTTGACAAAGGCTGTATCTGCATGGGAAAATTGATGCCATAACATTGGAGAACAGTGATTTAAAACATGACATTAAGGCATGATTGCTAATTTTTCTAGAAGCAACCTTAGTGCAAATGTAATATAAGTCAGGACTGTGTGTTCTTGGGTCAAAAGAATTCATAGCTTTCAAAATGTCAGTAGGGCAGAGGGCAGTGATGTTCTCTACTCTATACAGTCTGACACCAGCAGGCAGCCTGACTCCAAACTTCAAGGGTTCAGTGGAGATTGCTCCTAAGGGCTGTTACTGTTCAAGATTAGTGTGACCTAAAGCACACTCATAGTGTAACCTGTAAAAGGAGACTGCACTTTAGTTTCCCAGCTGCCCAGACTCCAATAGTCACACAGAAACTATATTAATTGCAACACTGTTTGGCCAATGGCTTAGGCATATTGCTAGCTAGCTCTTATATCTTAAATTGACCCATTTCTATTAATCTGTGTTTTGCCACTAAGCTGTGGCCTACCAGTAAGGTTCTGGTGTCTTTCTCCCTCAGCAGCAACATGGTGCCTCCCTGACTCTGCCTTCTTTCTTCCTCTATCTCTGCTTGGATTTCCCACCTTGCTATATTCTGCCCTGCCATAGGCAAAGAAACTTCTTTACTAATCAATGGTAATAAAGTATTCATAGCATACAGAGGGGAATCCCACATCCTCAATCAGAGAAGGCAGCAAGAGTCTAAAGTCCCTGCATGCACAGAGACTGATCATGGCGGAGGATTTCCCCATGGCTATGTGGCTTCATTCAGCTCTCTGTTTCCTCCATCATTCAGGCCTCAGCTCTTACAGCCTAAGAGACAAGGCATCTGTGCCAAGAAGATTGCAGGGCACATGGGGCCTCGTGCTAAAGGTCCTCTGGATGCTTACTGTGCATGACTATTAAGAACTCAGAAAAGGCTGTGGCAGTGAAGCCTGTCCAGCTCTATTTAATACTTCATCTTCTATTGATCATGAAAATCTTCCTCTCAAATCCATTCATATCTCTTGGATTCTTTGAAACACTGTCTAGAAAAACCCTGAGTTCAGGTCTCTCTCCTTATTGCAAAAGGTGCACAAGAGTGTTAACAGGGTAAATGGATATGCTCTAAATTAAGAGGTGAACATGAACTGAAGATTCTAGATTTTCCACAGCCCCCACACACTTCATTAGAAACCTTGTCCACAGTGAGCCAAGCACTTGCTACCCATTCTCCCTCTCCCATGTGGCCAGATATGCATGGCAGAACCAGGAAAGAACATCGGGATCATCACCTCCAGGTCCAGACTGTGTAAAAATGTATGTTGCTGATGTTTTGATTCTGACATAGGGCAGACAGGAGAAACTCAGAACTCTGGGATTCAACAGGGGCTAGTCACTTTAGGCTCTGTGTCTGTGTGTTCATTTGGACAGGCTTTCATTATGTAGCCCAGGCTGGCCTTGAATTTACAAGCCTCTGCAACCTCCTTAGTGCTGGGTTTACAGGTATGCACAGTGCATTGCACCTTAGACTTTGTCAGTTATAAAGAACTGAGACCACCTGACAAACACAGCCATCTGGTTGCAAACCATCCTCCACCACCCATCCTCCCCCAAATATGATGCTGATGTTTATGCAGTAGGGGGAAAATATGTGTTAAGTGTGTCTCAGGTCCACAGTCCCTTCTCTAAACTCTTGGGACAAGTGTAACATCAAATTCTGCCCTTCAAAGAAAGATAATGAGGTGTATATGGCACGACTGGGTAGTTCCCCTCTCAAATCTACAAGGCAAATATTCCCACAGTGAAGCGTGAATATCCACAATAAGTGAGAGAATACAATCCATATGCAGCTTACAAACATGTCAGGTCTGGCTTTGCACACATCTAGAACCTAATTTATTTTAGAATCTCCTTGCTGTCTGGGCTGTGGACCGGATCGTGCAAGCCTTTACTGGGCCCCGAGTGAGGACACTTGCTACATAGAAAACCACTGAGCTCTGTATCGCTAACAGATGGGAGAGCTTCTCATCAAGACAAGGAAAACTCACATCTCCAGCGTTCCAAGTTCGATGTTCTGACTGCGAACAGTGTATTTCCCAGTGTGAGCCGGGCCAAGGCTCTTTGGATATGGATATGGAATTTGCCATAAGAGGAATCTGCATTTTCCCGTGAAGAACACACTGCTTCATCTTCCACTCCACTGACCTGAAGGAGGGAGTTTCCAAAGTAGATGCTAGAAGAACAAAAACCCACTGCGTCGTTCACCAATAAATTTCCCAAGTCACTGAAAAGCCTGCTGTGCTGTGTGAACTCAGGTTCAGTCACATGATGGTGGTCCAGTGGCATTGGCACAGTGGCGGGTTTCTCGCCTCTATGACTTCTGTGAACTTAAACAGCATTGTGTCTGACTTCTGGCTTGAATGCTTCAATGTCTAACCTTAAAAAAAAATTAAATTAAATTAAATTAAAAAAAAAAGCCAAGCGCAGTCTCCCATCTTCCAGTTTTCAAGGGGCCAGCACAATTTTATTACAGTTCTCATAACACATTTGCCTTAATTACTAAAGTATACACAGACACAATAGGGAATCCTTGGCCAGAGTACTAATCACACAATGATAGGTGTCCCCACTCCCACTGTGAGACCTGTAACTATACAATCTACTGTGCTATTGCAATATAATACTGGAGGATTTTGCTTATAAAATAGCTGTGGTTTATCCATTAGTATGGAAGCCAAGTTGAAACAGCAGGATGGTAACTTCTCCGTACCAGACCATAGGCACCCTGACCCAGCTCCGACACAGGTGTGACCCTGTGCCTCGCCCATCAGCCTGATTATATCCCTGAGTGTTTTCAGAGACCTGCAGACTTAACAGCTCACTGGTACCTGAATCATTCACGTCTGCGTTCAAGTCCTTCAGAGCCAGGTCATGGCAATTCGGCCCAGACTTCTCAGATAATAGGCCAATTATATTATGTCACCCGAAACCGAATCTCACCAGATCATTGGGCCTATTAATCTCAAAGGGGAATTTCCTGAACCTCATACCCAGCTGGGGCTTTTGGACAATGAGTTCCTCTCCATTCATCTGTAATTCCTGAAAAAGCTAAGGTGCCAATTGTGGCTGCGTGTATTTCTCTCTATGCAAGGCAGCTGTGGTTGCCCGGCAAGGTGATGTCAATCACAAAGGCAACTTGCATCCAGCAACCAGGTGACACTTGCTTCTAGGAAGGGGTGGGCATACGGATAATACAAAGAGCATCTTCAGGATGTAGTAGTCATCTTCTAGTTACTGTAACAAATGCTTGAAGTCGTCAAATTATAAAGACACTTTGGGAGGCTTTAATCCATAGTCCAACGGCCCCATTGGGCCTATGGTGAGGCAGTATCTCATGATGGCAACACACAGAAAGCAAAGCAGCTCACCTCCTAGTAGGTAAGCAAAATAAAAGAGGAAGAGGAAACCCAGGGTTCCAATATCCTATTTAAGGGTGTGATCCCAATGACCTAACATCTTTCCACCAGACACCACCTCTTGTTATTTTTTGTGCTTTTGTTTTGAGACTAAGTCTTTCTATGTAGCTCAGGCTAGCCTCAAATGATGTGGGATTCCCCTCTGTATGCTGTGAATATGTTTTATTACCATTGGTTAATAAAGAAGCTACTTTAGCCTATGACAGGGCAGAATGTCACCAGGCAGGAAGTTCAAACAAAAATACAGAGAGAAAGACGGCAGAGTCAGGGAGATGCCATGTAGCTGCTGAAGGAGAAAGACATGAAAAGTTGCCAGTAGGCCACAGCCTCATGGTGATACATAGATTAATAGAAATGGATTAATTTAATATGTAAGAACTATCCAGATATATGCCTGAGCCATCAGTCAAACAGTATTATAATTAACATAGTTTCTGTGTGATTATTCGGGTCAGGGTGGCCAGGAAACCAACATGCAGTCTCTGTTTACACTCATACTTGAAGCTCTCCAACTTCTGCCTCTTTGTCCAATTTTGTTTGTTTGTTTTTTAGTTGATACCACCTCTTAAAGAACCCACTGTCTCCCAAAAGCATCACCAGAGAATCATACTTTGACACATGGGCCACTGAGGTCACTCAGCATCCAATTGTAGCAGAAAAGAATCTAAAATGACCCCTGAGCAGCCATAGCTTGTACTATATCCAATCAGAAGGGAAAAATCGGAGCTGAGCAACTTAGTGAGTGGACCTGTGGGTCATATCTGGCTCTCTGTAGCAAGACGATACTCCTGTTCTCAGGGCCTGGTGACCTGGTGGGAACATGCAGAGAATACAGAGTGTATATTGGGTGATGGTGATTAGAACCCCCAAAGAAGAAGGACTTTCTAAGACAGCATATATATGTGGGATACGTAAAGCCTTAACAGGGCATCTAGAACACAAGAGCCTTAGATGATACCACCCTGGCTTCCTGGCCCACCTACCAACTCCTTCATCTTACCATCCTTCGTCTCACCACTGGGTGTCTCCTAGTCCCAGTACTATATTTAGAAATGCTTGTTTAGAAACCTTAAAAATCAGAACTTGGTATTGAAATATCTAATAAAAATGATTGACAGATTTCTCAGGTCCTGACTTTAAAAATGAAGGAACAATGATCAGGCACTAGGGTTGTGGCCACAGGCAGCCTGGCAGTTATGTGAGCTGCAACTGATGCTTACACAGGCCTAAGGCTGTTTCAAGCTCATCACAATGCTCCATGAGGACAGGTTCCAAGCATCGGTGCCAGGGTTTCAGAGAAACCTGTGAGAGTCCCATGTGAAGCCATGTGACCCTGTTGCACACCCACCCTATCCGCTGGGCAGTGGCAGTGGGATGCAGCACTGAGGAAGACGGCAATCACGAGAAGAAAACGCGCTAGGATGGGCTGCTGGGCTCGGCGGCTGAAGGCATTTCCAAATCGTCAGCATCTGCTTCTGATGGCTCCTCCATGTATCAACCCAGCACCATTTGAGGAACACCTGTGCACATAAAAATGTGTGCAGATGAAATCGGGAGACCTGGATGACCTCTGAAGGGCACCAAGGCCAGGGACCAGGTTTGACATCATTCTAATTCTGTAAGATACTACCTGGGGGAAACTGGGTACAGGTTTACAGGACCTTGTCCATCATTCTGCAACTTCCTGTGAATCTGTAACTACCTCATAATAAACATATTGAAATGGCTGAATCTATGAATGAATTGCCCTCGTGATTTGACCAACAGTCATAGTAAGCACAGATATACAGACAAACTACAGCTACTATTAATATCAGCCGTTGTGATCTGTTGTTTATTCTCCACATATCTCGCTATGGATTAGGCATGTTCCTATATTATAATCATCATTTTGTGAGACTCCAATCGCAGCGGTTCTCAACCTTCCTAATGGTGCAACCTTTTAATATAGTTCCTCATGTTGTGGTGATCCCCAACCATAAAATTATTTTCATTGCTACTTCATAACTATAATTTTACTACTATTATGAATTGCAATGTAAGTATTTTTGGAAGAGAGATTTGTCAAGGCTCAGGCCCCACAGGTTGAGAACCACCGCTCCAGAGCTACCCTGCGTGTTGTTTCTAGAAGGAGCACTTCTGGGGTCTGCACAATACTCAACCCATGCAACAGCCCCTCCTCCGGCCAGGCACTGCGAAGGGATAAACTTCAATGTCTTGTTGCTGGTTTTCTTATCATTCTAGTTTAATGATTTATTCTACTTTGCGAATGGTTCTGCCTTTCAAGCTAGCCTGGTTTAGCAAATACCAGCATTGATATCTCGATTACAGAGAACGCGCAGGTTCTCAATCTGCAGCTACTTGAGGTTCAGGCTCGAAACAGCTTTTCTTTATCAACTGACCCTTTATTGACCACTTAGTACTGGCCAAATGGATTGCTTTCTGCACACGCAGTAACCTCAGCACTAGGAAGCCTGTGGCAGGGAGAGTTTATGAAAACACAGAAGCCACGTGTGTTGAGGCCAGCAGAAGCTTCTTAGTGATGCCAAATCTCAAGTAAATAAATAAAGCTCAATTTCTGCATAGGAGTTACTCTAACTACAATCAACCCTAAGTCACATGATAATTTGTCCCTTGATGTCTTTAGGGTTGGTCCGTGAACCCACACAGTCACCAAGATCTGAGATGGTCCAGTCTCTTCTGTAAACGTATGTGATTTGCATATGAGCTACGCACATTCTCGAAAATACTTTAAACCACCTCTAGATGGCTCATGATAAATAACACAGGGAAACGTTATGTAATTTTTCTTCTGGTATATCATTCAGGAAATAATAACAAGGGGAGAAGTCTGTACATGACCAGTACAAACCCAGATTTGTTCTGAATATTTTCCATGCGCAGCGGTAAAATCTAAGACAAGACCCAGTGCACAGTATCCAACCATTGCCCTTGGGTGGCTGGGGACATCTGTTGTTCAATCCGTTGTTGTGTAGGCTACTTGTGATTATACAGTTCACAGTGGAGTCAGTCACAAGAGAAACCCCATATGGCCCAGCAAGGAGGTACAGATTCCTTCTGAAGCAACTGAGTCATGGCTAGGATGGGGAAGAGGTGGCAAGGGCAGAGAGTAAAAGGTCTGGACAAGAGAGGCGGGCTTGAGTGCGTGATTCACACGGGGCTCCCCTTTGTCAAGAGGGTGGGGCACATAGAGCATGCCCAGGGCAGCAGAACCCACACCCAACAGCAGCTCTTCCCTGCTCTGCTCCTCCCACCCCAAATTCGCATCAGACACAGGTGTAAGGGATGCATACAGCTGCTTCTTCAACAGCAAGTTGGCACAACGCCTCCGGTGAGCTCAAGCTTGGCACTTTCTCCACACTCATAACAGGAGCCTCACCGTGAAGGGTTTGCGAATGAATAAGAGAGGGTGGAGCAGGGTGACCTTTAAGGTCCAGGATCTGGAGACTTTCCTGGAGCAGCTTTCATCTCAGCACATGCACTCACGCCATATGAGACACACACCATACACATACATACACACTATATGCATACGCACATCCACACATGTACAGACACACATACAGACTACATGCCATACACCTTACACACATACTTACACACACACAGTATATATACCACATGACACATACTACATATATACATACCACAAACAACAAACACACACACACACACACCACACACACACCACACCATACCACACCAAGATGCTCACACACTCCTGGAATTTTTCTTATGAGCCCATCCCCCTAGACTTTATGATTTGGCCTCGAAGATGAAAGAAAGACACATTATTTAAGAGACAAAAAGAAAGGGGAACTGGACCGGGGACTGGAGGAGTCTCTTTAGCCTTCCTAAACTACAAGAGAAGTCGGCACCACAGCTGCACATTTCCCAGCTGTGTGACCTTGTCCCTCTGCGCTGTGTGACCTTGTCCCTCTGTGCCTTAATGGCCTCATTTGTAAATGAGGTCCATTGAAAATGAGGCTGAGGAGGAGATCATGATCTCATGGGATTTGGAGGAGGCTTGGGGATGTCGGTGTGCATGAAAAACACAAAGAAGTAAATGCACACAAGAGTGCTCAACACTCCAGAGACAATCTTACACACTCTGGCTAGAACCCTTGCACACGCCCCAGAAATTCAGCCCTCCCCCCTACACACACACACACACCACACACACACACACACACACCCTCACCTCTTTCTTCTCCTTCCCCGCCCAGCATCTTTGTACTCCTGCCCTTCCCTGTCAGGAAGCATCCTGGCTCAGGATCGAGCACAGGGCTCCAGAGTTTGGCAGCTCTGACTTATGTCCTCCCCATACCCCATGGGCACGTGTGTTAAGAACTGGTTCCCACAATGCTTTGGAAATGGAGCCTGGTAGGTGAAAGTGAGGTCATTGAAGGGGTTTACTGAGATTCCGGCCCTTCTCCTTCCACCTCCTCCTCTTCCTCCTCTTCCTTCTTTGCCCCTCCCCCCTCCGTGTGTGTGTGTGTGTGTGTGTGTGTGTGTGTGTGTGTCTGCTATAAACGGGGTAATCTCCTCTGTCACGCACTCCCTTCATGATGTGCTGGCTTGTCACAGATCCCAGATCAATGACCCAAACGACTATGAACCGAAAGCTCCAAAGCAAAGACGAAAACAAACCTTTCTTTTTTGTACTGTGCCTGCTCTCAAGTGCCTGTCTACGGCAATGGAAAGCTGGCCAACACACTCCCCACGACAAGCTAAAATCTCCGCTGCACCCCTGTCTTGCTTAGCCGAACACTGGCCCTCCTGTGCCTGTGGCTGCCACCCTACCTCCGGTCCACAGCCACTAGGATGTAGAAGCAGGTGGGCAGGCTGTTCTGAAACCAACATAGAGCGACAGCCCACTCAGGAACGAGATTCCTACACACCGGATTGCCTAATTCCGCAGTCACTCGGGTTTCTTCCCCAGTCCTCCATCCTCCCCATGGATAGGCCGCAAGGGCTATCCGGAAATGCGCATTTACGGTCTCCCTCCCGAGCCTGTGTTTGGAGCCCTCCTCGGGTTGGTCACCCCCCTGACAACCCCATGACTCCTCATCTCTCCTTGATCCCCAGATCTCTGGCTGCCTTTCCCAGGAGCGTGACTCAAGGAACAGTGAGCTGCTGTGCACATCAAAGGCAGCAGACACACAATGGGGAAGGAAGAGGAAGAGAGGGAGGAGCATTCGGAGCGGAGGCCCGCCTTTCTGTCTAGCCAAAGCTGAGGGACAGTTGGTTTTTCTAACAATTCAAGATCTAGAATGCCCAGGGTCCCCAGAAGAAAAAAAAAACCTGCTGCTGATGACCACAGGAGGGAGATTTACTTGAGTTTTCTGGGCCTCCGTTTCTTCACTGGTAAAGCAGGCTTCTCACAGAGTATAGTAGAGATGGAAAGGCCCAGAAAAGGGCTGAGCATCTCCCAGGGCACCTGTCTCTCAAGGTGAGCTCTCTGTGAGGGAGTCAGCACGGAGGCCTGGAAATACCAGGTCTTGTCAACTGATAGCCACTGACCAGGTCCACTTCCTGGCCCTTTCCAAAGCAGAACTGTCTGAAGAAGAAGGTAAAATGAGTTGCAGGAAACTCGTGTTCTGCCCTTAACTATTAGAACGTCAAAAGACTCTGGTCAGAGGGAAGGATGACCGCAGAAGCATTTTGCTGGAGTCCTTTGCACAGGCCTGTGGATAGACAAGGTTGTCTCTCCCCCACCCCCCACCCCCACACACAGAGTTTTTCCACAAGAAGGAAGAGAAGAGAGCCCACAGCATAGACCAGCAGGAAAGCCCCAGTCCCTCCACACTGGCCAGTAGTCTGGGAAGTCAGTTGAACAATGGTGGAACTCATCCTGCAAAGGGCAAGCAAGGGAGGGTGACAGAAGTCTACCCACCCCTATGTCCTACAGCTCCCAACCCCCAGAGGACAGACATGTCTGTGTCTAGACCGAGTAGAGCCGACTGCTCACAAGAGAAGCAATGGGGCAGCCTACGCCGTTCCCCTGCTTGAACAAAAGGCAAATATCCTAGACATGGCAATCCAAACACACCGGCCTTGTCCATCCCACTGTGACATCAGCGTATGAGCCAGGTAAAGGGCAAACCCACGCCTGGCTTGGCCTCTCTCTAGAGTCCCTGACTCACCCAATCAGGCCTCACCAAGAAGGAACCTTTGTGACAGGAGTCCCAGAGTCACAGGCTCTGATGTTACTATTTTTTTCGCATTTGTTAAATGCCATGGCACACTGAGTCCACGGGGGAAGCAGGGGTGGGTAGGTTTGGTGGGCCTGGCACGGCAAGAGATAAACAGATGCATGGCATTCCAGAGCTCTGAGCGAAGCCACCCCTCCAAGCCAGGGAGCTGCTCATGTGTGTGCTGTCATCTCTAGCACTGTTCTCAGAACTTTCCACCCGGCACTTGGCAAAAGGATAAATCAGAGCCTGACGACTTCTTGGCTACGGTAACACTCTGCCATGAGTGTCAGCACTGCCAGGCACTCCCTGGTGACATGTTTGGCTCCTTCATTCCAAGCACACAGTAATAAAAAGACAGCTGGAAGCAGGGAGATGGCTGGAGCCTTCTTTCCAGTCGCAAACTTGGACCAGCCTATCCCCTCCCCCCCCCCCCAGGGTAAAGCCAGTGAGGGTTTTACAGTGGCACAGAAGAAAAAACCATTGGAAGGAACCAGGGAGGTGGTGTATGAGTGCTTGGTAAAGGAAGGGGATGGAGGGGTCAGAAACTGAGCCAGAGAGGTAGCATTCCTGGGTCCTGTCGCCTTTCATCACTCACTTCCCCTCATGCCCTCTCCCACCACATGCTTGCATGGCTCACCCCTGCTCAGGAGCAATATGGGGTTGCAGGGGTATGAAGCTCGCATGGCTCACCCCTGCTCAGGAGCCATGGGGAGCTGCTGCAGGGGTGTGAGGCTCACCCTGCTCACCCCTGCTCAGGACCTGCAGGGGTGTGAGGCTGAGGGACCTGAGACTATGGAAGGAGACAGTCTTCACTTCTGCTTCCCTTCTGGCTTTAGGTTCCTCTCTAGTAAAACAGAGTTTGGGTTTAGTAGGTACTCAAAGGTGCCACGAACTCTCAGTGTGTGAGCGGTCTAGCCATGGGTATGCCTAAATGCAGGATGCAATGCCCTCTGGATGCAATGTAACACCCTGGGTGCAGCGCAAGACATGCTGCCTGCAAGGAAATGAAATAATCTGACTTTAATACAACACCCTCTGAACCAATGTGGGGCTCCTGGATGCAAGGCGGTGCCTCCCAAGCACATTGTGATGCCCACTGATTTCAGGGTGATGTCCCTGAAGACAAGGCTAGCTCCCTCCTGAGGTAGTGACCTGTAAAGACAGCAGGGTTGTCTGTGATTCTCCCCCTAGCTGAGCTCATCCCCACCCATCCTCACGCACAGGGCCTTGCCACGTTCCCTGGGTTGGCACCAAAGATATCCCCCCTCCCTTGCTCACCCTTCAAATGACTCATAGCGGCTGGGGACAGGGTGCCCCAGAGCAAGCTGGCAAGTCATTGCCCATCCACCCCTTCCCCAGGTGCCACCGCTAGGAGCTGCCGGCTGTCAGCTGTTCCCGAGCTCAGGAGCTCCTTGAGTTACAAAAGCAAGAGGACATGGAAATTGAAACAGGAGAAGGCATTGGCGGGGGCCAGAGCTCGCGGGGCAGCTATGGAAAGACAGCCCTACCAGAATGGCAGCGTTATTTATTGATTCTCTTGGGGGAGGCATATATGGTTATAAAAAGAGCCTCTTCCAAGCCCAAACCACTCACCCAGTTTATTCATGGGTCTCCAAAGAACACCCACCACCACCACCACCCCTGTTTAATCAAAGGCCACAGCCAGGGTGGGAAGTACCTCACAACTGCCTGCCAACATCACAGTCATTGTTTCCCACCGGCTTCACAGGACACAGAGCTTAGCAGGCAGGGAAGAACCCCACTGAAGGGAGGGGCCTTCCCTGGGCCCACCCAGCAAGCCCCGGCCCCACAAGCTGCTGCTTTGCTGTCCTCAAGCAACACGGGGTTAGAGGCCTGGAGATGTTCAAAGGCCCAAGGCATTCCTAGCACTCTGCAAACCACCACCCTGCTGCAGGCAGGGGTGGAGGAGGGCTGGCCAACTGAAAAAAAAACGATGTCCTGAGGCCGGCTGTTGAGTGCTGCGATGCAAAGGCCAGAGCCGTGGCTGGCGAATGGGTTTCACCAGGCTGGATCAAGTGACTGCCTTCCTGGAAACTGGCCTTCTGTTGCTAAGCTGATAAGGCAGAGAAATTGCTACCCTTGGTGCTCATGGGAAAACATGTTGATGCTAAAGAAGCGCTGCCACCTGTGAGTGGCTGAGACAAAACAGAGCACCCCTGCCCCTACCCCGCCCCCGGGGTAACTCAGATCACCCAGGCAGGGGTGCGCTGAGAGAGCTGATGAACCCGACCTTCAGTAACTGCTCCCGAGACTGCAGTACACAAGGATGCCGCTTCTGAACATCCTACCTTCTCCATGTACTCCCAGAGATCAGCCTCCACCCTGGATAACAGTGGACCCTTGTAACACACACAGGGCAGTCTCTCCTGACCATGGACCCCAGTGTAGCAGCCTCGGGAGGCTGTGGAGGGGCACAAGATACAAGAAGCCGCCTCCTGGGGGGACAGATCTTGTACCATCAGGTGTGCGTGGAAAAGGGCTGGCCCAGGGCCTCACTGTTTATAACTGTGATGGAGGAGGGGCGTGCCGAGTTCAAAGGGTTTAGTGGTCAGGAAATGAAGTCCTTTGGCAGCGCTCCAGGGACAAGTAGCTTACACTGATTTTTGCCCCACCGCCATAGTGTAACAAGGCACCTCTATGTTGTAAGGCGCTGCGCTCACACCTCGCCTGCAAAGTACCCTCTCCTGGACTGTTCAAACACCCTCCCTCCATCATCTACCTCCCATGAGGCAGCCACCTGCCCTTACATAACCTGTCACTTGAAGTTTTCTCCAACATTCCGTGCAAGTAGCCATCAGGTGTCAGGAGGAAGTGAGTGGAGACTTGCAATGAGGAGACAAGAGACCCCCTAAAATGTCCCCCTCTCACAGGCCTGCTTCATAGCTGCTCCCAGGAGCCGGGATGTACTCACTTATCCTATTTCTGTTCCCGAAGCGAAGCAAAAGCCAATGGGCCCCAGACTCTGCTCCCCACAGATCATTCATGGAGAATGGTTTGTGTTCCAGACAGGAATAATGAGGAGAGGAAAGGAAAAAAGAAAAGAAAGGAGGCCTGCAGCCAGCAGGCCGTGCAGACAGCAGTACGGAAGTAGAAGAGCAGACTACAAAAGGCAGCTGTTCCAGTAACCACGTGTATGGAGTTGGCACCATCAACAGATGTGTGATTCTGGGAGCCTTGGTTCAAATCTCCCCTAGGCCTCATATTGCTGTATGGCTCTAGGCTAGTCCTTGAGAACTCTGGGCCTTGTTTGCCCCATCTGCAGAAGATGGTAATAGTGCCTATTCAGAGGTGGGTATGCAAATTCATCAGCAAACCATGGAAAGTTATAAGAGCATCTCCTAGCTTGCCATAGAGACTTGACAGTAACAGATGCCATTTATATTGCATAGGGCTGCATGGGAGTGAGAAGTAGCACTGACGGTTGCACTTGCTGTCCCCTCTAGCTGAAGTTGAAATCAGACAATTTTTCAAGAGGTGTATCTTGTCTATGCAGAAAGGGGGCCAGACCCTCTGGGAAGACTCAAACTGGAAGCCAGGAGGCTCCAGCCAGTCACAGAAGTGAGTTTCAGACAGTCACTCTGCACACTTACTATGCTTTTTCTCTGCAGAACACTTGAGCTGCTGTGTCTCCCTGGGATATCGTTCTCTCTCTCTCTCTCTCTCTCTCTCTCTCTCTCTCTCTCCATATCAAGCCTCCATTGGAACAGGTGATGGAGTGGTTAACCACTTTTAAGAGATGAGGGCATGGAAAAAGTAGGTCATCCCCGGAAGGCCCAAGGCTGGAAGCCCTTCCTTCTCCTGTTCCTGGAATCGCTGCACCAGGGCTGGAGGTGGAACCATAATTGAGCGGTAAGAAAGCCACAGCTCCGTGCTGCACGGCCCAGCCATTGCATGGGTAGGTTCTTTGTTCTTATTTGACTTTTTGTAGCTCTAAAGGTTGAAAGCATTCTTTACCACTGAACTACTCATCCCTAGGCTCCTTTGGAGGTTTTATTTATTTATTTAGGTTCTTCTTGAGACAAGATTTCTCTGTCTAACAGTTAGGAACTCTCTTTGCCAACCAGGTTGGCCTTGAATACAGAGATCTTCCTGCCTCTGCCTTCTGAGTGCTGGGATTAAATGAGTATGCCACCACTGCCTGCCCCCCTTTTGGATTTTAAATTTTAAGATGCCAGCTTTCAATGGTTGTGACGCACGCCTTTAATCCCAGCACTAGGGAGGCAGAGGCAGGTAGGCCTGTGAGTTTGAAGCCAACCTGGTTTACAGAGAAAGTTCCAGGAAAGCCAGGGATACACAGGGAAACCCTGTCTTGAAGAACAAAAACAAACAAACAAACAAACAAAATTCATGTTGCCCCAGCTGGCTATGATTTTACTTTGTAGCCCAGGCCAGCCTGGAACCTTCGGTCCTCCTTCCCCAGCTTCTCAAATAGCTGGATTGCAAGCCTAAACCATCAGGAGACCTAACTCATAGTATTACATAGTCTTCCTGCTATGTAACCCTGATAAAGGGATGGTCAAATGACTCAAACCAAAAAAAAAAAAAAAAAAAAAAAAAAAAGCTCCCTCTTGAGATAAAGACCAGCAGTAGAAGCATGGAAAACCATGCAGACGAAGCCAGGTCATTTGCCCTCTACCTTGCCCCTGGGGCTCAGCCTGGAGATCCCGAAGCAGCCTGAAAGTGCTATAAAGCAGGTAGGAACTTGGTGAGGAACCAGGAAGGGACCCAGAAGGCATAGGTAGACTACACTAAAGGCAGGAATGGGCTGGGCATGCAGGCCTGGACATGACTACGATCAATAAAGACACATTGCATAATGCAAAGTAGTTGGAAGAAAGGAAGCCTCACCAAGAAGAAATGATAAATGCTCGAGGTGATCTGTCATCTGTTGGTTGCCCTGACTGATGACCGTTAGATGCATCTGTCTATCCCCGCATCACAGTATAATACTCAAATCTGTAAGTTTAAAGGAGGAAGAGGAAAAAGAGTGGAGGGGGAAGGAAAGGAAAGAAGGAGGGTTCAGGAGCGAGAATGTCTTGTTTATGTCTCCTCTCCATCACCAGACCTATCACTAATCACAAACCAACCCTTTCCGAGAAATGAAGCCCAAATAAACAGACTGGCTTCAGAGCACTGCCAGAACCTGTTGGGGTCCCAAAACACACAGAGAGGACAGATAAACTCCCCATTCTTCGTGTGTCCACCTCTCAACATCCCTGCATCCCGCTTCAAGCTTCGGGTTGTCATAATCCAAGGAGATAAAAAATGGACCTCCCAGGCAAACTGATGGGGAGCTGCTGTCCGAGGCTCTCCCTGTCCTGGAGGGTCCCCTAGCTCCATCTAGTCATTTCTACTTCTCCCTCAAGCCCTGTACTTACTACTACTTCTCTCAGCTCTGAGGATGGCACAGTCTAAGGACTGAGAGAATGTCCTTCTGCTGAGGTTCCCAATATAGCCTCGGTAGTTGATAGTCTAAAAGAATAGGAACCCAGAGTGGGAAATAACAGAGATACACTGAATGGCATTGTGTGTCCACTTGACACAAGCTAGAGTCATCAGAGAGGAAGAAGCCTCAGTTGAGGAAATGCCTCCATGAGATCCAGCTGTAAGGCATTTTCTCAATTAGTGATCCATGGGGGAGGACCCGGTCCATGCTGGGGGACACCATCGCTGGGCTAGTAGTACTGGATTCTATAAGAAAGAAGGCTGAACAAGTAAGTCATGGGAGCAAGCCAGTAAGCAGTACCCCTTGATAGTCTCTGCATTAGCTCCCACCTCCAGGTTCCAGCCCTACTTGAGTTCCTGTTCTAACTTCCTCCGATGATTGAGCAGTATAAGCCAAATAAATATCACAGCCACAGGGACCCTAACCAAAACAAGAGGAAAACAAACAGAATGACCCATGATGGATGTAGTCACAATGATAAAAAAGGAAACAATAACTTAAAAAGAACTGTCATGTTTTAACTTTAAAATAAAAAGAATAGAGAATTTGGTTACAAGGAGCAAGTAACCATAAGTGAAACCCGATTTGACACTGAGAATTAAAAACAAAGAGTTGCTAGACAGAACCAACAGTCGAAGGACTGGGGATGTAACTTGGGTATAAGCCTCTTGCGTAGCAGAAGGCTCTTGGGTTCCAACCCCAGGAACATAAGGCAAAAAAGAAAAAGGGAGAAGAGCTAGGTGAACCCGTCCTCTTAGAAAGTAACTCTGTACCCTTAAGCCAGCATCTGATGCTGACGTGAACACTGTAGGTAAAATTTCCCTGGATACACTCAATCATAAGAATCATCACATAAACCTACCAATCCCAGCTCTCATTCCATCTCACATATTATAATCTACAGAAGGGCCCTGGGGTGTGCTATGCATGCCTGATAGGTAGACCTCATTCTCTCCCCTCCCCATCCTTAGAGTGACAGCTCAAGACATCTGCTGTGGGGAGATTCTCGCCTAAAACAACAGAAATGCACGTGAGGCTGTGTCACTACAGTGACCTGTGTAGCCAGAACTGAAGGCAGAACAAGGTGACCATCTCCAGGGAACTGGGTTTAAAGACTGCTGTGGATAAACACGTGCAAAGGTATAAATACCACGTGGCAACTTATAACCACTGAACTAAATGTCCAAACAGCCCCACAGAGACAGCTTTAGATGCATCGGACAGTCAGAAAAGAATTGTGCAAGGATTCAATGCACACACATGCTTTCCATCCGTGGTTATGAATTTAAATCAAGGCCATAAATCAACTTCATTTAAAGTGGTTGTCTTTGGGGAGGAGAAGGAAGGGATGTGAAGACCAAATAAAGGAAGCCAAGACAGTGCTCTGCCAGACCTAAGAGGACAGATGTCACAAACTGAGAAGACCTAATTTAATTCCCTGCAAGTACCTGAGGGGGGAAAAAAAGCCCAAGTAGATTCACTTCTATAGTAAAGTCTGAGAGAATTTGTTTCTTTCTGCCTGGATTGCCCAAGCAAGGTCTGTCTCCTTTAGTTCTGTGATTCCCTTCATCCTTTCAATATGTACCCATTCCACACCTCACCCTATCACCATGCCATGGGAAAATCAGCTTGTGCTTTTGGCCACTAACAAATCCCTCTCTGGGCAACACGGGGGTCTGCTTGGTGAACTGCCATTTGGGTAGAGATAAAATGGCCATTGTTCTCCCCAGCCAGTCTGCTGGGCCATCTTCTACTCTTTGACTTTGGTCCTGGGTTGCATTAGAAAGCAAGCTTCGTTTCTTCCCTCTAGGTTCCTCTCTTGGATTTTTTTTTTTTTTGATGAACTGTACCCTGGAAGC